AACTGCAGCCGAAACTAAATTTTAAGTTGGTACTTAGCCAGAAAAGTCGAAACTAAGGCGACTATGAATAGCTTTAGTTGTGACTTAGAATAGTTTCGACTTAGTTGAGTACTAAATATGACTATGAATATGCGCCAATGATTCTGTCGAGTTTCAAAAGGCTACGCGAATGGGAATAAATCAATTTATCTTACTGCTTAATTTGATTAAAGGGCGCATAACATAGCAAGACTATGTACGACGTCCAATACCATCAGAAAGTCGGCTAGCAATAACATTAGTGTAAGCTTATCAATTATATAAATGTTATAATTTAGTAATAACTAAATAAATTCATCAACTGTTAGATACTTAGCACATGGAGTTTGTCGCCAAATGTTGGCCTGGGCTTTCAGAGTAGGAGTATCCACTGTTGGGAAGATTATCGTGGAAACATGTGGAGCTATTTGGGACGAACTTTCAGGAATATATTTAGCACAACCAAATGAAAATTAGTGGAGCGAAATAGCCGATTCATTCTACATAAAGACAGGAATGCCGCATTTTGTAAGACCTGTTGACGGCAAACATGTCCAGATCAAGTGTCCAAGAAAATCCGGGTCTATTTATTTCAACTATAAACAATATTTCAGTATTATATTGTTAGCCGTGTGTGACAGCAAATATACATTCACCGCAGTTGACATAGGGGCGTACGGCAGCCAAAGTGACGGAGGAGTTTTGAAAGTTAGTAGTTTCGGTAAACGAATTTTAAGCGGCACAATAAATCTACCAGAAGCAGAAAATCTTCCAGGTAGTGAGATAAGATTTCCATTTTACTATGTGGGAGACGCTGCTTTTCCTTTGACGAAACATTTGATGAGGCCGTATCCGGGAAAGTGTTTGGAGGCAAGCAAAGACCATTTTAATAAAAGCTTATCTAGAGCGCGGGTACTAATTGAAAATACCTTTGGTATCCTGGTAGCTAGATGGCGAGTTCTCAACAATCCTTTGAATGTATTTCCTGAAAATGCTAATACAATAATCAAAGCAACAGTTACTTTACATAATTTTGTGAAATTGCATAGTTCTGCTCATTATTGTCCCTCAAACTTTTTCGACCACTTAAATGAAAGCGGTTAATTAGTCGAAGGTCGGTGGAGACAACTTATTGCGCCATTGGAGCAGAGTACGGTATTGTCAAGCGCGAATGCAAGACGAAGTGGGTTTGATGTTTGATACACGAGATGTTCTTAAAGATTACCTATTCTCCAATAATTTTAATTAAATCATTAAATTAAATTTAATTTATTTAATAAAAAATACACAAAAAGCTTAAGTGTTTCTATTTTCCATAAATTGGTGAAATGATTTACACATTTGCAGTTGGAGAGCTGACAGTTCCATGCTTGTCAAATTAGCCCCTTCCGCTTGTACAGCAAGGCCCTCAAAAAAGAGGTGAATGGAAGATTTATTTACACCACCCACTAGCATATTTTCAGCCAAGGATGTAACTTTTTTGAAGTCTTTGTTTGCGCTTTCAATTATATCTTCTATTTTTCTTTTACGTCCTGGCGGTGTTGATGTTTGTGAGGAGTTCTGCAATGCCGCGTTGTTGGAAATGGAAATGCTTTCACCAAAATCTCCGCTAGGGAAAGAGCTATCTTCTTCTGTATTTCTTCTGCGTGCTGTCGTTTTTGGAGTTTGTGAGGAGAGTTGCGATTCCGTATTATTGGAGTTGAAAATACTTTCAGCAAAATCCCCGCAAAGAAAAGAGTCGTCTTCGTCTAAAATTTCTTCCACTTCTCCATAATTTCCGTGAGTACTGTATGTAATGCAAAAAACCACTGGATGAGTTCTAAATGCACGCTCACACTCTTAAATAAACATACTTTAAATTGTCCATTTTCACATCTTTTAAAAACCTTAAACTGTCCAACCGTTTCCACTTTTTGTGGGGAGAATCCACACCGCTTCCAGATGGTTTCTTTTTGATGTCTTTGTAAAATTTATCACGTAAAGTGCGCCAGCGAGATTTTAACTTTTCAGCTGAAATAAAACATACTTAGTATTAACAGTTAGTATTGATAATACAACATCCTTACCTGGAATATTCAGTTTACTGGAACGCTCCTGCAATTTTTGCTCTCGCGATTTGTCGAACAAAAACCTATTTTGGCTGACGAATTGAATGAGTTTTTCTTCCATTTTTATTGTTTAGTTATAAACAGCTGATAGTGAAACCACACAAACAAATGGACAATGTTGCCAGACTTTCCTAAAAAAATATCGTTTTTATGTTGTCAGCATTGATTCTGTGCAGATAAATTCAAATTCTATATGCCTTGCATCTCTGCATTGAACTGCAGATCGGCAACTGTCAAATTAGTACAATTTTTTCTATGCATGCAGAAATCTGCACATGTAATTCCGGCATAACTGTTGCCAACATTGTGACTTTCGCAATAAATTAAGTGCGTTTAGGGAGTGAAACTGCGAAATTTTTTTAGTTTAGCGCTTGTTTCGTTCTTTGGTGCCCTTTTCAAGGCAATTTTATAATAAAAACGTGATTCTATGGCGACATTGGCGCATATTCATAGTCATATTTAGTACTCAACTAAGTCGAAACTATTCTAAGTCACAACTAAAGCTATTCATAGTCGCCTTAGTTTCTACTTTTCTGGCTAAGTACCAACTTAAAATTTAGTTTCGGCTGCAGTT